GCACCTGCCTCGCTCCTGCACACCTGCCCTGCACCCCACACACCTGCCCTGCGCACCTGCCTCGCTCCTGCATACCTGCCCTGTCCCTGTGCCCCGCCCCGCCCTCTCACACCTGTCCGTGTACCCCACACAACCTCGCGCCCACACACCTGCCTTCACACATTCTCGGCGCACTTGCCCATGCCCCGCACACCCGTCTTGTGCTTGCACACCTGCTTCACACACCTGCCCTGCGTCCCGCATACAGCCGGTGCCCCACACACCTGCCTGCTCACGCCACACACCTACCTGCGCACCTGCCTGTACACCTGCTCCGTGCCCACACACCTGCCTGCCCTAAACTGCCCACGAGCCCCGAACACCTTCCTCGTGCGCTGGCAGAGGCTAAGCCGAGGCCCTCAGGGTTCAGACCCAACCAATGGGCCAATTCGGTGAACAACCACAGCGGTGTAGGATTAGCAGTCGCCCAAAGGCTTAGCATGTTTTCTTTTATATTTCAGTCTTTTTTCTTTTTTCTTATCTTTTATATTCCAGTCTTACTAAAATTGGGGACAGATTAATCGAGGTCCATCTTTTACAGAAACATTATATTTTGTAGATCTTGAGAAAAATTATTTCCTTTCCTTTAGGTAAATCCAAAGTAAGGTAAATTTGTGAGTAAGTTAGGGAACTTCTTTTATTCTTGTAAAAATAAGTCCAGGAAGGGATAGAGTGAGGTTTCTTTTGTAAAGAACTTGACTAAATTGTGTTTTCAACACAATTTCATCATTTTTGGTTATAAATTAAGGGTGAAGACAGACTGTGGTCTCTGAGTATCGCTCCATATCACTTAATATCATCGTGTATACAATTAAGACTAACCTCCTGCTGTCACCTGTTTTGTTGGTGCTGGGTTTCAGTGGTTTTACTCCATACCACTTTAGAAATTTTTGTTTTGGCCAGCCTGGCCAACATGGTGAAACCCCATCTCTACTAAAAATACAAAAATTAGCACGGTGGCGCTGGCTGTAATCCCAGCTACCCTGGAGCCTGAGGCGGGAGAATTGCTTGAACCGGGACCGAGAGGTGGAAGTTGCAGTGAGCTGAGATTGTGCCCCTGCACTCCAGCCTGGGCTACAGGGCGAGACTCCGTCTCAAAAAAAAAATTTTTTTTTCCTTTCGGGCTTCATGAGAAAAAGACAGTGCTAGTGCCAAACCAGCCATATTGCTAAGGATAGAACATAGGAATAGAGAAATGAACTTCAGGCTTCCCGTTCGCTCAGCTTGGTTCTCCGAACACCTCCTGCCGGATACTTTGTTACAGCATTGTTTTTTGTGGGTAAGGGGTTACTTAAAGGGGTTACTTTGTTGCAGGTCCCCTAACATGGTTTGCTGAAATGCTTGTTTCACCCAGAAAATGACCAACCGTTATTTTCACAAGTAGGTAGGAAGATATCCAGATACCTGTTTCAACCAAAATGATGTTTCTAATCAGTGATCGGAAACTCATGATTTACCATTGAACTGGGAAGAATTTTGATGCCTTTCAGTTTTTTTCCCCCTTTCAAAAGCGTGTGGAAGGCCAGTTCAGGGAACGCTAAGCTGTCCCAAGTCTTGTGCAGTGAAAGCATGTTAAGAGCCTGGAGGGAAGGACGGGACCCTTTTGTCCCAGCTCATGTGCGGATGGTGAAAGGGAGGTAACTCAGAGCCATGGACAGGGAATTAAGCTCTCACCTTCCTGTTAATCCATCTCTTTTGAATTCCAGTCTATTATCCTCCCAGTCCACAACGCTGAACCATGGCTGGACGAATGTTTGAGGTCTGTTTCGCAGCAGGACTTTGAAGGCACCATGGAGCTCTCTGTTTTCAACGATGCCAGTAAGGTATTTGTGAACTTCCTGTCGGGTGACTTAGCCCAGGGTCAGTAATGGTTGACCGTTCCAAGGGAAGGCTCCTGACCTGCCGGTGTTCTGCTTTCAGGACAAGTCTGGGGCTATCATTGAAAAGTGGCGAGTGAAACTGGAAGATTCCGGGGTCCACGTGATCATTGGGGGGCACAATTCTCCTTCTCCCCGAGGCGGTAAGTAAACATGCTTAGTTTATTAAACTATAATTTGCAGTTTCTTATCAACTTACACACTGAAACAGTTTCATGTTGTTCAAATACTGACAACAAGTATCCTGGTGGTAATTGGGGCGAACACTTACTAAGAAGCTGGTAGAGGCTGGGCGCGGTGGCTTACACCTGTAATCCCAGCACTTTGGGAGGCTGAAGTGGGTGGATCACTTGAGGTCAGGAGTTCAAAACCAACCTGGCCAACATGGTAAAACCCCGTCTGTACCAAAAAACACAAAAATTAGCCAGGTGTAGTGGTGTGTGCCTGTAATCCCAGCTGTTTGGGAGACTGAGACACAAGAATTGCTTGAATCCAGGAGGCAGATGTTGCGGTGAGCTGAGGTGGCGCCACTGCACTCCAGCCTGGGTGACAGAGCAAGACTCTGTCCCAAAAATAAATAAATAAATAAATAAATAAATAAATAATCTAGTAGACCTAAATTTCTTATTCTTTGATAGAGATTTATTATAGACCTAAATTTCTTATTCTTTGGTGTAGGTATTTATTACCATGATCTGAATGTGTCCACCCCCACATTCATACTTGAAACCCCCAAGGTGATGGTATTAGGTGGGGATTTGGGAGGTGACCAGGACATGAGGGTGGGGCCTCATGAATGGGATTAGTGCCCTTATGAAAGAGGCCCCTCAGAGCTCCCTCATCTCCTCACCCCCCCCCAGCTCTGTAAGAATTTGGGGAGAAGGCACCTCTGTGAACCAGGAAATGGCTCCCACCAGACACCGAATCTGCTGAGGTGCTGATCTTAGATTTCCCAGCCTCCAGAACTGTGAGAAGTGCCTGTTTGCCACCCAGTGTGTGGTGTTCTGTGGTGGCACACAGGCTATTCCAGCCCTGGCAACCACTCATCTACTTTCTGTCTCTGTAGATTTGCCTCTCCCGGGCATTTCGTGTAGATGGAGTCATGTTACATGTGCCCTTTTGTGACCAGCTACTTTCCTTCAGTGACGTGTTTTAATGTTCCTCTGTGCCGTAGCATGCATCGGTGCTTCATTTCTTTTCATGGTTGTGCATAGGTACCATGCTTTGTGTATCCATTTGTCAGGCGATGGGCATTGGGTTGTTCCACTCTTTGCTATTGCGAATGGTGACAGCATGAACATTTGTGTACAAGTTTTTGTTTGAACACTGGTTTTCAAATCCTTTGGGTATATGCCTTGGTGGAGAATTTCTGGCTCATGTTGCAATTCTGTGTTTAGCATACTGAGGAGCTGCCAGACTGTTTCCCATGATGATGCATTTTATGTTCCTGCCAGCAATGTATGAAAGTTACAATTTCTACATATCCTCATCAACACTTGTTATTTTCTGTTTTTGTTTTAATTATAGCTGTGCCAGTGGGCGTGAAGTGGTATCTCATTGTGGTTTTAATTTGAATTTCCTTGTTGACTAAAGATGTTGTGCCTCTTTTCATGTGCTTTTTGGCCATTTATGTATCTTTCTTGGGCCAAGCATGATGGCTCATGCCTGTAATCCCAGCACTTTGGGAAGCTGAGATGGGCGGATCAGCTGAGGTCAGGAGTTCGAGACCGGCCTGGCCAACATGGTGAAACCCTGTCACTACTAAAAATATAAAAAAAAAAAAAAATTAGCTGGGTGTTGGTGGCAGGTGCCAGTAATCTCAGCTACTTGAACGCTGAGGCAGGAGAATTGCTTGAACCTGGGAGGTGGAGGTTGCAGTGAGCTGAGATCATGCCAGTGCACTTCATTCAGCCTGGGAAACAGAGTGAATACATAATAAAACATAAATGGGCTGGGTGCAGTGGCTCATGCCTGTAATCCCAGCACCTTGGGAGGCCAAGGCAGGTGGATCACCTGATGTGAGGAATGTGACACCACCCTGGCCAACATGGTGAAAACTCATCTCTTCCTGGGTGTGGTTGCAGTGAGCTGAGAAAGTGCCACTGCATTCCAGCTGGGGCAGTAAGAGTGAAATCCCGTCTCAAAAAATAATAAATAAATAAATGCCTGTCTTCCTTGAAGAAATGTTTATTCAAGCATTTTGACGATTTTAACATTTGAGCTGTATGTGTTCCGCTGTTGAGTTATAAGCGCTTCTTATGTATTCTGGACACTACAGCGTTATTATTACACATAATTTGAAATTTTTTCCCATCCTTTGGTTTATCTTTTTACTCTCCTGAGAGTGTCCTTTGATGCACAAAAGGCTTATGATTTTGATGAAGACAAAATCTATTATTTCTTTTGTGGCATGTGCTTTTGCTGTCATTTCTAAGAAGCCATGGCTAAATCAAGGTCATGAAGATTTTACCCACATGTTTTCTTTGGAGTTAAACTTGTAACTCTTAGGCCTTTGATCCATTTTAACTTAGTTTTTATATATGGTGTGAGGCAAACGTCCAGCTTCATTCTTTTTATGTAGATATTCAGTTTTTTCAACACCATTGAAAAGACTATTCTTCCTTCATTTAATTGTCTTGGTATTCTTGTCAAAAGTCCATGGAAATTATATGAGTATCTTCTCTTCATATATGGTATATGTATGTACATATATGTATAAGTATCTGGAGTTAAATCCATACCGTAAACGTATGGATTCATTCCGTGACTCCCAGTTCTGTTCCCTTGGTCTATATGTCTGTCCTTACACCAGTACCACATTGTTTTGATTACTTTAGCTTTGTGATAAGTTTTGTGAATTGTTCTCTTAATTTCCTTTGAGATTGCTCATTTCTAGTGGATAAACAACTGATTTTTCTTAGTGTTGACCTTGTACCCTACAATTGTATGCTCTAATCCTTTATTAGCTCGAATAGTTTGCTCTTTGTGGATTTTTAGGATTTCCTGTATTTAAGACCATGTTATCAATGAGTAGAGATGGTTTTACTTCTTCTCTTACAATTTAGATCCATCCATCCTTCTTTCTTCTTCCTTCCTTCCTTTTCCTTTTTATTTTTCTTCTTTTTCTTTTCTTTTTCTTCTTTTTGACAGAATTTTGCTTTGTCAAAATCCAGGCAGGAGTGCAGAGGCATGGTCTTGGCTCACTGCAACCTCTGCTACCTGAGTTCAAGCAATTCTCATGCCTCAGCCTCCCAAGTAGCTGGGACTACAGGTGCGCACCACCACACCTGGCTAATTTTTTTGTATTTCTTGTAGAGATGGGGTTTCACCATGTTGGCCAAGCTGGTCTCAAACTCCTGACCTCAGGTGATCCACCTGCCTTGGTCTCCCAAAGTGCTGGAATTACAGGGATGAGCCACTGCTCCCAGCCTTTTTCTTTCCTAATTGCTCTGGTTGGTGCTTCCAGGACAGTGCTGAATAGAAGTGGCAAAAGTGGCATCCTCGCTTAGGCTCCCATAAGCAATTTTAGGGAAAAAGCTTTCAGTCTTTCACTGTTGAATATGATATTAACTGTAAATTTTATAAATGCCATTTGTTATACTAAAGAGGTTCCCTTTTAATTCTAGTTTGTTGAATTTTTGAATCATGAAAGGGTGTCAGATTTTGTCAAATGCTTTTCTGCCCCAATTTGAGATGATCATACAGTTTTTTCCCTTGGTTCTGTTAAGATGGTATATTGTGTTGATTGAGATTCTGTGTTGAACCTCTCTTCTGTTATTGTGATAAATCCCACTTGTTCAAGGTGTGTAATCTTTCTAGTATGTTTCTGGATTCAGTTTGCTAGTCTTTTGTTGAAGATTTTTGCATATATATTCGTAAGGGATATATTGGCATATAGGTTCCCATTCATATTAGTATCTTTGTGTGGCTTTGGTATAAGAGTAATACTGGCCTCATAGAAGTGTTTCTTCCTCTTGTTTTTTGGAAGAGTTTGGGAAGAATTGATGTTAATAATTCTCTGTGTTTGGTAGAATTCATCAGTGAAGCAATCTGACTCTGGGATTTTTTTGTTAGGAGTTTTGTTTTATTACTGAGTCAATCTCTATTTGTTCTTAGTCTGTTCAGATTTTTTTTTATTCTTGAGTCAATTTTGGTAGTTTGTTTCTAGGAAGTTGTCCATTTCATCTAGGTCATACAGTCGTTCTTTATACTGTCATAATCCTTTTAGTTTCTGTCAAGTTTGCTAGTAATGTACCACCGTCACTTTTATTTCAGCATTTTGAGTTGCCTTTCTTTTTTTCTTAATCTAACTGGGTTTGTCAATTTTGTGGACCCTCTTCAAAGGATCCACTTTTGGTTTTTGTTGATTTTTTTTGTTTTGTTATTGCCTATTTTATTTATTTCCACTCTAATCTTTACTATTTCCTTCCTTCTGCTAGCTGTGTGTTTATTTTTGTTTCTCTAGCTGCTTAAGGTGTACTGTTAGGTTCTTGATTTTACATCTCTTCTATGTAGGTATTTATAGTTGTACATTCCTTTCTGTGCCCTGCTTTTGCTACACCCTGAAAGTTTTGGTTTGTTGTGTTCTTGTTTTCATTTGTCTCAGCATTTTCTAATTAGCCTTATGCTTTCTTCTTTGACATATTGGTTGCTTAAGAGTATATTATTTAGCTTTCATTTATTTATGAATTTTCCAGTTTTGCTTCTGTTATTTATCTCTAGTTATTTTGCTGTGGTCAGAGAAGATATTTCATATAATGTCAATCTTAAAAAACATGTTTTAAGATATGATTTATGGCCTGACATGTCAGCTGTCCTGGAGAACGTGCCTTGTGCACTGGAGAATGTATGTTCTGTTGCTGTTGCTGAGTGGTGCGTTCTGCATATTTCTGTTAAGTATACTTGGTTTGTAGTATTGTTCAAATTCTAGTTGTTCTATCCATTATTGAAAGTAGAATGTTGAATCTCCAACTGTTACGGTAGAACCATTTCTCCCTCCAATTCAGTCGATCTTTGCCTTACTTAATTTAACCCTCCTGTTAGATGTGTAAGGTTTTATAATTGTTATATCTTCTTGATGAATTGACCCTTTTATCAATATACAGTCTTTCTTTGTGTTTCATCATAATACTGACCTAAAATC